AAGGCATTGCATTAACTCTGATAGCCATTAAAATATAATTTAGTATGAAGTAGTAATCATCCTTGTGCAATGTATAATATATTCCTAAATGGTTCTAGGACAAATCTGAAAAAAAATAATCATGAAGGTTATATCATATTAACTTTTACAGTCTTAATTCTCCAGAAATGAGGTATTTTCTGCTCATTTACTCAATTTTGCAAATGTATTGAATGCCATAACAGGAAGTTGATTTTAGTATTGAAAGTTAGAATATTGACAACCTAAAGAAATATAAAACAAAACCCAACCACTGCCACTGAGTCAATTCCAACTCACAGCAACCCCCATTTGAGTTTCCAAAGATATAAATCTTTACCAAAGTAGATTACCTCATCTTCCTCCTGTGGAACAGATGGTAGGTTTCAACCGCTGACCTTCTGGTTACCAGCCAAATGCTTTACCCACTACACCACCAGAGCTCCTTAAAGAATAATATAGAGTTATAGGAAATTTAGAGATTTCACTGAGCAAAAATGAAGAGACACCTCTATAACAGTCATGCTAAATTTTATTGCCTACATAATCTAGTAGATAAAATATTCATATTATTGCTTTACAAAGCAAAAGAAAGGGTTCAAATATTCAAATATTTACTTTTCAATATTCTATGCAAAGTTCCTAAAAAACTAAAAGCATATCTTATTTCTAAAAAATGTATACATATATATACATAGTCTGGATGAAAGTATATTGAAACACTATTCACTTTCCTGAAACATAGAGTAGGATTTTTCAATCACCATATATTTTTAAATCCACATTTTGTATTATTACAGTTTACCTGATTCAATAAATACTGCCTAATTTAAAAAATAATGTATATAATTTCATAAAGACTTACTTACATAGACTTCATTTTGTCCTAAAATAATAACCCTAAATGAACACAATGGATGAGCTTGTCTTTCTAAACTGCCTCTGGACAGATCAGAGCTCACTCCGCCTAAGAGCTGTGATTTAGGCTGAGGTTTCCTGTCACTGTTTCATGTTTTGGCCATCCAGCTTTTCTCCCAAAACATTTTCACTTTTGCAGATGGTCAGAACCCAGACAAAATCTTGAAGGATGCTTATTTTCTGTCCATTTAAGGCCTAGGAATATTTTTTTCTTCTAACAATTTGTTGAAACAACCAGTTCTCATCCATGTATATAATTTGCTGGGTAAGGATTTGTACTTTTCCTTGGCAGAGATCCATATAAGTGAGTATTCATGTCTATGCGATATTTGAGTCCCATGACTTGTAATGCCATAACAGGAAGTTGATTTTTATCTTTACAAAAATGTTAATTCTGCTTTTGGAATCTTCATTACTTCACAGGTTGAGTCTTCAGATCTGGGCCCTCCAGTAGTCATAAAATTCACTTAGGGGTTGATTCTTTACTCAGATAGTCACAGGACTTATTCCTCCTCTTCATTGTGGTTTCAGGCCAGATTGATTATGTCACCACTTCAAGAGGCATTTGTTCACTATCTTGTCCCCATTGAACCACTTTTTCTCTGGTGTTAGTCCTCTAGTGCTGCCATAACAGAAATACAAGCAGATGGCTTAACAAAACAGGAGTTTACTTACTCCCTTACAGGTTAGGAGGCTTGTTGTTGTTGTTGTTGTTGTATGCCATCGAGTCAGCCCCGATTCATAGCAACCCCTCCTTGGGTTTCCGAGGCAGTATCACTATGGAAGTAGGATTGCCCAACCTTCCTTCCGAGGAGTGGCTGGTGGGTTTGAATCGACAGCCATCTGGTTAGCAGGCAAGTGTCTTAGCCACTATGCTACCAGAGCTCCTTATTTTATAAGAATTAGCTGCACATTAA